TGTGTGTCGTGTGAGAGAGGGATGTGGAGACAGGGATGAAAATGATGAGTGGCAACTAAGTGCTAGACTTTTATAAGGAGAGCAAAAACATTTTAAATTTTAATTTGAATGAATTTATGGTTTTCGAGTTTCTTATCGGGGGGAGGGGAATATCATTCCAGCACTTAGTAGCGGAAAAACGAAAGCAGTTTATACGGTGTGTAATTAAGTCGCGGTGCTGCTCTAACGCAACGCTGTGAGAAATTGAGCTTGTCGTATAAGTAAGAAGGTTCCCCAGTTTTAACCACTCCGAAGAGCAGGGAGGCGAGGTGAAGCTTCCGTCTGGAGAACATGTTCATCAAGTCGCGTCGGTTTAGGAATGGAGTGACATGAGATCGAGGTGGTATTGAAAAACAGAAACGTGCGCAAGCGTTTTGTATTCGTTGTAACAGTTTTTTAGTTCATGCAATTAAGCATTCACCAAAAACTGCGTCACCATACGACAACTTTGACAAGATGAGAGTTTCACACAACTTAATGCGCATATCCACAGTCAAGTACTCGCGAATTTTGTATAAGACTTTAAGTCTATAGAAACAGTTACGCATTGTCTATAGCATGTTCCTCAAAGCGCAACCTGTCATCCATAATCAATACCAGGTTCCAAGCTTCCAATACGCGATCAATGGGACAACTGTCAACAGAAATTTGGGGATTCCAAGCTAGGATGTTGTCAATTTGTTTACGTGTTCCGAGCAACATGTACTTTGATTTAGAAGAGTTAATTATCAAACTGTTGTTACTGCACCATTTTTAAATACATTTCAAATCAGCTTGAATTTTACTAATTGCCAACTCTGTATCGCAAAGTTTAAACGATATAAATAATTGGAGGTCGTCAGCGTATAAGTGAAACTTACTAAACTTGATTGTAGTAACGATATGTATAATATAAAAAGTAGTGGCCCTAAAATAGAACCCTGTGGTACACCTCTAACAACAGGCATTGTTGACGATACTATGTCAGAGCCGTTATCACCGGATATTTTAACGTACTGCAGACGATTGGAAAGGTAACTTGTAAACAACTTTATAGTGGAAATGTCGAAACCATAGTAGGCTAATTTAGAGAGAAGAAGCGTTATGTTTATCGTATCAAATGCAAGGGAAAAATTAAGCAAGACCAATAAAGTACCTTGCCCACTGTCCCGTGCTGTTAAAACTTCGTCCACGACATCTATCAATGCCATGGTAGTACTACGAGACCTTCTGAAGCCGGATTGTTGTTCAGGTAGGATTTTATTTACTTCTAGGTATTTTGTCATCTGTGTACAGACAATTCTTTCTAAGATCTTGGACATGAATGGTAGAATACTAATTGGACGAAGCTCCCCATAGTTACTTGGGTTTGGTTTCTTTGGAATCGGTTTCACAGAGGCTACTTTCCATTTTTCGGGAAAAACGCTCGTTCTAATAGATTCGTTAACCAATCTCGTAATTAGTTGCAGAGTTTTTGGTAAAGTAAGCAATATGATATTTAAAGTAATGCCATCATCACCCCGTGCATTTGTTTTAAATGATTTTATTACGTTTAATACCATTGTTTCATCAACTGTCTTTAATTTGAAAGTATTAATTCCAAATCTATCAAATTCAAAGCGAGTTAAGACTGACAATCTAATGGGGTCTTCACTGATGTCGGGAAGCTTAAGAAAGTATGTATTAATATCTTCAGGATTACATAAATAGGATGCCATATTACAGTCCTCTTTCTTAAAGTTGGCAACACTTTGTTTGATATTTTTCCGTAAGAGTTTTGGCTTGTTAGTAAAATTGATATATTTATTGAAATATGCTATTTTTTCGCTACGTATTGCCGAATTTACAACGTTTTTCAGATCTTTATAGAATTTTATGTGAATATCTAATTTAGTAGTTTTACTTTTAGTGTATCGCGAAACTTCATCATTTCTGTAATAGTAAAGGTTATCCATGGATGTGATTTATTTCTTATTAAACAAGTTCTCATAGGAGCATGTATATTAAAAAGTTGAAGTGTTATATTTGTAAAATTTTCCACCATTTTATTTAAATCATCATTTATTATATTTTCCCATTCTATACATTCCAGTTCCAGATTAAAACTGTTAATGTCAATTTCTCTTAATGGTCTCTAAGTAATTAATTTAGGAGGTCCTCTAATATTTTTAATATTTAACTGGCATATCAATAGCTCGTGACTGCAAAGATCGGGAATATGATTAATAGATACACAATATATTTTCGTATTGGCACATATTTAATCAATTAAAGTTTCACTATTTCCTGTGAAATGGGTCGGCTGGTTCACATACTGAGTGGTACACGCTCTTCCCCCTCCCCCCCCTTGCTTAAGCCATGTTTCATTTATGGCTAAAATGTCCATGTCGAATCTCGATATCGCTGCGAGAAACTCATCATGGCGGGTTCCCAAGGAGCCAGCATTTAAAAACCCGATTGATATTCTTTTATTTTTTTTAAAATTTAAAAACAAGAGCATACGAAATTTGGCAGTACTTACAATGATCTAAGAAATTACACAGAAGTGTTAAGTGACGCCATCCAATGGACCAAATAAAATAAGTAGAATAATTGTTATTTTCATAGAGTATATAAAATAGTGTATCGAATATGTGATTTGTTAAGTGTATGTAGGTAACGTCAATATGTATGGGGAGAATACAATGCAACGTGAAAGAATAACAACAATTAAATAAAGATTTGAAGAGATGTAAAGAGATATAGGACCGATAGCCTAAGTTTGCGCTCGCACTAGCAAAAACTTTACCTTACCGTATCCAGACATACTTCCAATTATTGCGTTTCGCTTCTGTACGTACTTTATAAAATAGTTTACGATTATGTCTGGTTAGCCTTTCATTCACATAGAAGCGACAGTCGACGGAATTGAGTCCTAGACCAACTGTAGTGCAGCCTCGACGGACTCGCGCCGCTGCTAGCAGACTATCGCGATGGACACGGCGTGCCAGCCGCACTACGATGGGACGCGGCCTAGATGTTTCATTCTGCTCACGCCGCAAAAGGCCTGCATGCTCTACACTTACTATATCGCGATCTTCTAGCGCTACACCTAATTTAGTTGCAACTGCCAAAACAATAAGTGTAGAACGTTCATTTTTGTCTTCGGGTATTCCCGAGACCTCGATATCATTGCCTAAGAGTTCCTGGTCACGGTCATTAAGCTCAATTTTGAGATCCGTAATCGTTTTCTCGAAAAATGATATGTTATTGGACGTCTTTATCTGCGAATTTTTCTCCACCACCTCCATTAGTGCCTCCAGGCAGTCAAGTCGCTGATTGCACGCATTTATTGCGGTAAGCAGGTTGGTCATCGTTTTCCTAAACTCTTGCATATCATTACGCATTTCTTTGATGTCTTGGCGCAATAGTTTTAGCTCATTTGCTAGATCACTAGTTGGCAAATCAGGTGTTGATGATGCGGATGTTGAAATGGCCGTAGATTTCAGCTTTTCATTCGTGCGACTACGCAGAGTCACATTTGTACGTCCGATGTCTTGGTTGCTGTTTGGTGACAATTGCAGGTTGTGTTTTATTGGTGTGTTGGTATTGTCAGTCTTAGGTTCATTGCTTCTACATTCCTGACATTTCCAGTTTTTCTTATTATCTGCTGACATAATATAAAACCGCTTTTCTGACACGTTTGTGCAAGGAAGATCATAATATTTACAACAAACATGACATTTTAAATATTGCTTGTCGGTTATTTCCTGCGAACAACCATTGCATTAAATTTTACTTGGTACTAGTGGCGCCATCCCTTCCTCCACGTATGCAACTCAAATGAAAACGGTGACTTTATCGACTTGTGATCTGATCGGTTTAGTAACAAATGTCTATAAATGATTTTAGAATCATGGCGTTGTTTCAAACAAATAAATTTGAAAGTTTTCAAACTTAATTTAATTTAACGGTCACCCAAAAAGAATAACATTTGTAATATTATCTTCCTCGATCAGATTTTGAAGTTCACTTGAATTTAACAGTCCAGAACTTGTCAATCAGTCTTGTTCCAAAACAAAATACAATTATTCGATTAAATATTTTTCAGCTAATTATCACAAAATATTCACACACACACGCGCACGCGCACACGCACGCGCACGCACGCACGCACGCACACACGCACACACGCACACACGCACTCACGCACACACGCACACACACACACACACGCGCACACACGCACGCACACACGCGCGGACACACGCGCGCGCACACGCGCGCACACACGCGCGCACACACACGCGCGTGCACACGCGCGTGCACACACGCGTGCACACGCGCGCACACACACGCGCGCGCGCAACACGCGCGCGCACACGCACACGCTCACGCACGCACGCACGCACGCACGCACGCGCGCAAGCACGCACGCACGCACGCACGCACACACGCACGCACGCACGCACGCACGCACGCACGCACCCACGCACGCACGCACGCACGCACGCACGCACACACACACACACACACACACACACACACACACACACACACACACACACACACACACACACACACACACACCACACACACACTTAAAAACGTCTTAAAAAAATAAGAAATTCTAGTTGCATATTCGCTTGCCAAGACTAGCAGCTATGGCACATATCCCACTTATGAGGTAATTTATGAGGAAGGCCTTCGTTTATCAGTAGACTTATAACAGGCTGTAACGATTACGGAAACAAAAACATATTGAAGTCGGGACTTTAATACTTTCACGGTCCGGTTTTCACTTACGGGACAGCGAATAGGTTAATTCTATTCACTATGTCTTAGCACAGTCCTATTACTTTTCTCTTTCCTAACCTTACAATTATTTTCGCATATTAACTTTTTATGTTAATCAAATTGTACGCTTGATGTAATAAGGAAATAAGAAATACGGCTGAGCGAAATAAAATTACAGAATGTAAGTGCCCATTTCGTAAATAAAAATGATTCCTCAAAAACTCCTTCAAACAATTCTAAAAAGTTTAATTTGGATAAACTGTTTTATTTATTTTGGAACAAGTCTCCAAATACGAAAGATAAATAATCCATCTGATGTACAAATCGCAAGGAAGCTGACAAAATTCCTTGACGGTAAGAGAAAACAAGTAATAAGATTCACACATCAAAATAGAGAGCAAAAAGATACAATTGAAGAAAATATTGTCAAAAACAAAGCTAACACGATTGAAGATAGCTATAATTTAAACGACGATAAGGAGAAACATCAAACTCTAAATTATTTTAATAGAATATTGGTAAAGAGAATTGTTCCACACGGCTTAGAAACTCCCAATTTCGTATATGATTTTAAACATAAGACTTACTATAAGCCATTAACAAGAATTCACAAAAATAACAAGGCATTAGACGTTTATAAGAAAAGTAACAAACATAGTGTTGGTAATAACTATTTACATTTTATAACTTCAAAAAATAAAAGAAATAAACTTAATAATTACCAACCGAATAGTCTAGAATACTACAATGAATATTTCTTGCAACCATTCAAATACAAATCAGGAAAATTGTATCTGAAGAGTTCCATAGAAGAAATTGAAGAGTTAACCAAATTGGTGAAAAGATTACTGAAAGTTTTAAATTTAAATAAAATTGTTATTAAGAAACCACAACCTGTAGATAATGACGAAACTCTTACAAGGAAGTTTGAAAAGTCTGGCGAAGCTCATGACCCTTTAGCTCCTGGTAAGAAATTTGAAACCTCAGAAACAACAACGGAAAGACAGAAAGTATGGCTACCGTATTACCCGCCGTGGACTTACTGGAACGTGAGTTTTTTTGCGTTTTGTACTCCCCAGTACCATTAGATTATTGTATCTTCTTTAAGACCCATTTGCACAGTACAAGACTCTTGCTTGTTGTATACAATAACGTTAAAGCAATAATTTTATCTTTGGGTTAGTAATTTGAACTCTAAATTAATATAGTGATAAAGCAAAAGGAAACCCAATTATAATACAAACCAATTATCGCCGTTTTGATGCGTTTACACAGTGCAAGCTTCTTGAATCATAAATGACAATGAAAGTTGTACGGTGTGTATAGGCCTTTATTCAAAAAATTCAACTTTACAAGGCGCAGGTTCGGCCGCACTTGGAATGCTGTTCCCATCTCTGGACCGGGGCTCCCCAGTGCCAGCTCCTTCGTATTCTTTTTGATCGCATCCAGCGCAGAGTAGTTCGAATCGTCGGCGACCGAGCTCTTTCCGATCGGCTTGACTCACTGGCACTCTTCAATTGGATGTTGCATCTCTTTGCGTATTTTATCGTATCTACCACGGGGAGTGCTCTGAGGAATTGTTCGGACTAATTCCAGCCGTACAGTTTCACCATCGCATATCGCGACAAAATTCGCGATACCATCCATACCACCTGGAAGACTGGCGGTCCACCACTAAGCGATTTAAAAGAAGTTTTCTTCTTCGCACAACTTCCTTGTGGAATCGACTACCACCAGAGATTTTTCCGGATCGATACGATTTAGGGACCTTCAAGAAAAAAGCCTATTCTTTTTTTAAAAGCAGGCAACATCTGCAATTCCCCTGGTGTTGCAATTGTTCATGGGCGGCGATAATCATTTACCATCAGGTGAGCCGTATGCTCGTTTGCCCCCTCTTCTATAAAGAAAAAAAAGAAACCTTTTTATTGTAACTCGAACTACGAATAATAAGAATATGCTTTTGCTTTATTACGAATTACATATTCCATTTATAATGGTAGAATAGGTAGTCTCATCTCTACTCTTCATCATATGGAGGGATAGGAAATTTGTGCCAAATTAAAAATATATAAGAACATAACGTAAATTTTTACCGTTAACTTCGCATCAGCCCATTTACGGCGTGGTCAGCACGTTGAAGATTTTTCATAGAATAAGGGTGACAAACGAGTACAGAGACCACCTGCATAGCCACCAGCATGCACCCATAGACATCTACATCTATCGTCGATTAAGAATCTAAATGGAGATGCGTTGTTACCCCTGAGAACTAAGATGGAGTGTCTCTCAGGTTCTCTACAAACGAAACACAGAAGCATTATGCTATTTTACGGTAGTATTTTATGAGAGCGTGATCCGTCCCTAGTCGAGCTGACTCATACGAGCTGCAATTATAACTTTGCTGCAACATGGCTGTCCTACGTATAAACTAAAAGTTTTCCATCAGCATGATTAAAACTACTTTTTACGGATTTTATCGCGTTTGCCATTTCCAGTCCGTACTGGTTTACATAATGATTCCTTATATTTACGCGAACACTACACATGATTAAAACTTTTACGGATACTTATATTTACTTACTTATATTTACGCGATAAAATCCGTAAAAGTAGTTTTAATCATGTGTAGTGTTCGCGTAAATATAAGAAATCATTTTCCATCAGCGTCAATAACAACCTAAGGCTTCTATGATTAAGATCTTGAATTCGATAACCTATTTTTTATAGAAAAATCAAAAACGAACACACAGTCTACTAGATTGTAAATGGATATTATGTCCTGTTGACTCCTTCCTTTATTCCCGATTAAGAATTACCTATAGTACTCAATGATTTCTTATATTTACGCGAACACTGTTTAGTATTTTGTGTTGTAGGATGTTTTTGAATTTCAATGAAATTAAAAAACATCCTAATTTCAATAGAGAAGGAGGCTGGGTACTACCACCTGCTTGGGATCCTATAATTAGTAAAATTAAAACTAAACCCAAGCATACCACTGCAAGACTTCAAAATACAGTTAGTTCATTCTGCGTAGATCGGACCAAAGACAATAATTAAAAAGCTGAGGGTACTCCGGGTTAACTTTGACATCGGGACGTCAGTCACCTCAGTCCCCCGTGACCATGGGTGCTGGAAAGCACCCGCAACGTTGGGTATTAAAATTAATATAAATAAAACGCGATAAAATCCGTAAAAGTAGTTTTAATCAATGTATAATACTCAATTTTTTTACTGTCGCCAAATAGCAGTTCTTGCAATGTCGTATTCCGGTCTGTACTTTACACATAGTGTGCCAGTATATAGGCTATGAAGCATCCTTAGTCCTCAAAAGTGACAACGCAACTGTTGATTTCTTTGTTTGAAGTTATCTGCAGCTTTTCCGTGAAATGCAGAAGCCACTTTCTATCAGGTGATCTGTTAGTTCGTTAATTGGTCTCTAACTCCACCTGCACAACGAACCCCTCGAGTCCAAGACGCGGCGACCATGGAGCCAGATATAACGAACACTTGGAAGCTCCAGCCCACCTGATTCCGAGGTCAGATCAAGCGTATGGCTTCACTGCCGACCACGATTAATCGTGGAAGGTAGAGAAAGCGGCGCCTCGTAATATCGATACTCCTCTCTCCCTCCACCACCACCGTATCAGCGTTACGAACCCACCAGAATCGCGAAGGATACAGCGAGTGGCGTATCACCATAACAATTACCAACACTCCTCTTTCCCTGCAACTCAACCTCAGTTGCGGTGGTAGACACATTCGAAGCGGGCTCACCAAGCACACACGGAGTGGCCACCTCGAGCCGGCACTTCATCTGGGGTCACCTCTAACCTAACCTAACCACGCCAAATTTGATACTTAAAGGGATGCTTTAATTATACTTTTTCACATTGAAACTAAAAAAATATCTATTTGCAGTACAAGAAATCGGTATATCAAGACGAATGCCCCGGTTTGCTGATAGCTAATGGAAGAATGTGCATAAATACCCCACCTCATTAAGAGCCACAAACGTTTACATACATCTCTATTTATGAATGCAACTATCACTCATTCATATTTTTTCAAATAAGCATAGAGAATTTTAGTGTTGCGTATAAACGTTGGCTGCGATAATGAAAAAAATAATAAACGGTAAATTCTATTTTCTTACTTCTTATTTCAAAAATTTATTTGAAAGTTTTTGTTTTAATTTTTTTGTAAAATATCAGTGCCATAGGCTTATATTCCGTTCACATGTAACACCCTATGTAAGATGGGTGGACCATGGAAGACCATGCTCCTTCGAAGGCCAATTATTAAAATGTGATAGTTATTGCCATGTGATGACAAATTCCTTCTACGTACACAAACACCTATCGAACTGAAAAACACAGACGTGGCGGCGAATCGCTCACGCTACTATTTTGCCAGTACAGTCCCTCGCTTCATTGTCTTCGGGAATCGACGACCTTAAGATAAGGTGGGTGTACCATGGAAGGCCACTCTAACAAATAAACAGTTATTATTCGTTTATTTACTGGATAAATGAAACTAACAAATATTTATATAATATATAAAGTAATACTTTGTTTTATTACGTAACATATAAACCACTCCTTTTTATTATAGATTTAATCGATATTTATTAAACTTTAGTGTTAAATGACTGATTTATTATAATGACCTTCTAAGAAGCCTCGTTCCTAGCAGGGCCAGTTGAGTATATGTAGCAACGGCTCTACTAACACTGCACGACAATCCCTAAGAATAAACGACGGAATACCATCGGGCCCCACCGAAGACTTAGACGGTAAACGCGCAAGTGCGCGCCGCACGTCTGCGGGCGCGAGCACGCGAGGTGCGCCCACGCGCCCGTCGTCGCGCCCGTCACTGCATCCGCGCTTGCCACCGCCACGCTCAGCATAAATGTGCGCTTACACGAGGGCAATAATTGCTCGGCGACACAAATGGACCGATCTGGAGCAATTAATGGAGCTATTTCAAAGCAATAGAGCAAATTGCGGCAATTATTTCGGCGATATTGCTTCTAATTGCTCCAGATATTTCATATCGCTCAATGTCGCAGATACGAATTGACGAATATCCAATGGGCTTGGAAATTCCTAGCAATTTTTGTATACATCTCATTTACACTTGTTTATTTTGCGGCTTGCCATCTTGCTTCCGCGGGGAGCAAGACGGCAAGCCGCAAAATTATTTCAAATTTTATTTTTTCGAAAGTAATTCAAAGTCTGTTCGTGACATTCTAGTAAAGTTTTTGAATAATATATCATCTAATTCTTTACACAATGAAAATTGTGGCCTCTTTGCCAAAAACGGTCGCACCCAGATACGCCTATTCCTTTTCTTTCTTTTTTGTTTTTGATTAATAATAAAAAAAGCGCTACAAGCCGCCTCAGCAAGAACAATGTCGTCCATAGCGTGCGAATACTGAAATGCTCGTGTAGGACAGTATTGCGTAGTTGATGAAGTTGCGCCATATCGCTCAATATTGTATTGCGCAGTATTGATGCTTGTTGCCGTTGCCGTGAATTGCTTGAAGTAGTCGTGACGTCATAGTTGACGAGTATTGACTGGAATTGAGTGAGACTCCGATGATTCGAATCGCCTTTCCTAGATCTTATGTACCTCTAAAAAGCTCGCGGATCCTTTGCCAAATGTGCCCTGCACGCGGTCGCGGTGCTGGTCATGTGCTCGTGCAGTCTCGGCTATAACTCTTGCCCTACATCGAGAGAACTCCTCATAATCACTGCGCGCTTTACTAGATTTATATTTTTTTGAAGTGAAAACTTCTTTAGCGGCATTGCACACTTTTTTGTAATGGGTAAAAAATGTTAAACTCGCGTCAGGACACGTGACCCTGATCGAAAATGCGTAAGACGGATGGAGAGAACCACACCGGATAAGTATATCTCCTATTTACTAAGTTTATATATTTTTTGGAGGACACTTGGCAAAAATTTCATATATCTTATCATAAAATAAATTTAAAACGCCGTCCAAGTAGTGTGTATGTGTGCAAATAAATTGTATAATAGAATATTTGTTTTTATAAGAAAAGCGTGACAAGCGAGCACACAGTCCACCTGATGGTAAGTGTTTGCTGTGGTCCATAGACATCTACATCTATCCTAGTTTGCGAATCAAATTGCAGATGCGTTGTCAGCCTTGAGGACTAAGATGGAATGCCTCTTTTCCAGTAAAAAGGGTCTCCGGTTCTCTACAATCACCATACGAAACACAGCAGCATTAAGCTGCTATTTGACACTGGTATTCTGTGAGAGCGTGGTCCTTCCCCGGTCGAGCCGACCCATTCGTGCTATAACAATACAATTAATATAGCTGCAGCATCGCTCTACCACGAAAAAAAGTCGGCTTTATTAATATTCCATAATTTTCGAGTTATCGGGGATAGAGAGCACGGGTATCGTATATACGGCGATCCAGAAGGTATAGTGGTTGCGGGGGGAGCTCGATGCGCACGGCAAGTGGTGGATGGTACACGCTACACGTCCACGGGCTGTAGATCCTCGTCCGCTACTCTCACCGAGACGCCGCCGCTATTGCACAGCATGAGGTCCAACTGCCTATTGTTACAATTATGGCACTACACTGAGTGAACTCGCAGAAGGTCACGCAATATTCATAATAATAAGAAATATTATTGAAGTGAAAACTTCTTTAGCAGCGACACGTGACCTGATCGAAATTTCGTAAGACGGACGGCGTTTTTACGGCGCGGCGAAAATGTGTGCCTGCGTCTGCTGTTCCGTTTAGGCGGTGCAGGGCGCTTGCGAGAAAGTAATATAAATTGTCATGTTTGTGCACGATAGCGCAATAGATAAATATTGTATTTTACCACATAAATGATAGTACTCTTATACTGATAATTAAAGCAATTCGTGCAAAATTATTCCCTAACCATTCCAAAATATCAAAAATGCACAACGTTAATATTTAAGTTTTCACTTCTGCCGGCACTCCCGGAGTGCAACCCGTCGTTATTTTATTACAAGAGAACATATTGAAGTCCCCTAATATAACTAAATTAGTCTTATATTTATATATATATATATATATATATATATATATATATATATATACATTCGTTCTCGTCAGCCTGCGGCGGTATATACACGGCACAACAAGTGAATAAAAATGGTTTTGAATATAAACAGCAACACAAACTTTTGACTGTCAATATTAAAATCACCTGAGTCACTCGTTCCCAACTCGAACCGCTGTGTGGCCACTAAAAGTACGCCACCTAGTTTGCGCCTATCTGCCCGATCACATCGTAATATTTGGTGTCCAGGGAGCACGAATTCTGAGTTTTGATACTTCATTTAAGCCAGTTTCAGTAATAGGGAATAGATCAGACTCTGATGATTCTAATAATGATAAATATTGTCTAATCTTTGTCCGCAGTCCTCTGATATTTTATAATTCAATAACGATTTTAGACTCGTTTCCCAGTATTTGTTTGATATACTCAAACAAATACTGTGCATTTTTTAAACATGAAAAAATTTCCTACGTTCAACTGCTTTTATAAAAGCCACTGATTTGTTACCTCCTCTTTGTATAATATTTCTGCTCTTTTTAATCTTATTTTACACTTCTATCTAATCATTACCATCGTTCGCTGACTTTCGTATCCACTGCTTTCCTGGCCGCCGCCGCATAATTAGTTTCCGCGGACCTGGACAGTACGGTCGCCCGCCCATAGTTGCCCTTATTGTTGATGTTGGACGAAGTAGCCGGTTCAGTACACTCTGATATTGTAGATATTAATCGTCGATTTTGGCGTTCGGTACCGGCATCATAACTTTCATTTTTCTCACTTTTCTATAACACTTATCTCTCAATTTTTAAAAATTTAATTTGTTATTCATAATAATTACATTTCATATCAGCTTCCTTCAATTCCTGCCTTAATTCACTATTTTCTAGCGCAAGTACTGCTAGTGTTTTTAATTTCCTGTATAATATTGGTTTCAAAAGCACAAATTTTTGCTATGATTACTCTCTCAACTTTATCTATTATCTCGTCCGATGCCAACGACTCTGCTATCGCCTGAGAAAGATTTCCCTTTATATTGGTTTGGTCAACGGGGCGGCGGTGCGAACACCACGTACTGGTGTGTCATCTGTCACCCGTATACGCAAGATTACGTTTAAGCAAAAATCAAACTTGGAAGTACGTTTCAAATGTTCTTATTCTTCTCTAAACGCAGCCGAGGAGTATTGACACATCTATAATGGTATCCTACCCTGCATCCATTACATTTAATCATCTCCTGACAGTTCATTCTGAATTCCACGAATTTTATAATAACACCATGCGACAAAAACAGATAAAGCTAGCTCCCGTTAGAGCGAAAGAGCGCGATGCGCCGCACGACACCTCTCGCCACTCGCACAAAATGATTTTCGTCACTGCACTTGTTTACAAAATAATGTTCGAAATAGTTAGAAATTAACGAATTGAATACTGTACTCCATATTTTATAGGTATGTTATAACCTGTGATGTTTCATTTAAACACATTTTTATAACTTAAAGAGTCCGGATTTTTAGTTTAGAAAAATTAAATTTCGAGAGCAACCCGCACATATGCTGCAAAGGTCATTATATGTTAATGTAAAAGAAAAAAAAATACGTGTGGCACTCGGTGACTGCCGCGGTATAGCTATTGCATAGCATTTTTTATCAACTTATGCAATTATAATTATTTATTTATTTTATTTATGCAGTTAAGTCTTTGATATTAAATCAAGTTACACTTTTTGAGCGTGATGACCGATAAGAAAACAATTTTTTTTCTCTTATTGAATAAATGAGAAGTTAATATTATTTAAAATATTTTTAATATCTTACAATACACGTAGGTTACTCAGGAATTTTTATCATTGAGTTAGCAGCTAGTGTACACGCATACGTCTAGTCGCACGCACACAAACACCGTGCCGAAGTCTGCCGAGTGCCGAAGTCTGCCG